TTTAGATGAAAATTGATAAGAAGTGACATGATCTGAGGCAAGTTTCAGCACTGGGGCAATTTTTGAAAATCGCGTTTTAAGGAAGAGCTGAGTTGCCCTCCCTCCATGCATATAAATGGAAGCGTTTCCATGGAGCCAGTTCGAGTACCCTCAGTAATTTTGCAAAGAAAGAATTACATCTCATTCAGCCCTCTGCCAAATTGAACCTTAAATTAAAAAAAAAATTAAGTCAAATGCTTAGGTAAAACTCACTGTAGATTTTTATTTTTTTTTTATTTTTTTTCAAAAGTGGGTAAGATTCCCATTTCTCTAAGTGACTTATGCTCTACTGTGTGAAGCTTATACAATGGAAGAAACCACAGCAATGATTTTCTTGTGGATATGAAAGGCTCCATTCCACCTTGGCTCCCAGAAGACTCTAGAAGAGTCTCACGTCAGTGTTTCCAATATCTACTCAAGAACTTCAAAACTCTGAATCAGCCTTGTAATTGACCTCACTGAGGTGGGAGTTTCTTCATTAGGAGAGTAACTGACCAACATGACTTAGACAGCTGTGAATCTGTTCACCAAGGGAAGACAAAGATGACCTGTCCTTCATGGCCCAGCTCCAAAATCTGGTTGAAGAACCAAATAGTTCAACAATGATCAACAAGATAAACAAACCAACAATTTCTGTTAGTTTTGCTGTCAACTTGACACTCTTGGGAGGAGATAAACCTCAACTGAAGAATTGTCTCTATCCTGTTGGCCTGTGGGTGTGTCCAGGCGGCAGTCTCTGATTGCTGGTTGATGTGGTCTCCACTGTGGGCAGTATCGTCCCTAGGCAGGTGGGTCTGAGTTGTCGCACGAAGTTAGCAAGCCAGTGAGAAGTGTTCCTCCGTGGTCTCTGGTACAGCTCCTGCCTCCAGGCTCCTGCTGTGGACTTGATGGTGGACTGCAACCAGCAAGCCAGATAAACCCTGCCTGCCCTCCAGTTGCTTATGGTCATGGTGTTTATCACAGCAACATAAAGCCAATGTTATGAAGGGAACACAAATGCTGAGTCTGGAAGCCATCCAAAGAAACACACGGTCTTCGGGACCACGGTCCTCTGTCAACACCATGCCCTCCCGTCCCTGTCACAGTCTCTGAAAACAAAACGGGACATAGTGCTTTGGCGTTCTCAAGGGTGCATGTCTTCCTAGTATTAGTTACAGAAAGAAGTCTTTAACTCAGTCCAAATTCCTGGGTTGTCTGGTCAACTTAAAAAAAGTATCTTTCTAATTAGCATGCAAAGCTTCTTGGTGGCATTTCTCGAATAACTTTGGTTTTAAGTGATTTCTCCCCACTTCCCCCTCATCTCCCCGCCACCTCTGTACCCTCCTATCCCCAGTGGCCCCGCGGCTTTCCTGTTCTTCCCCAACCCCTTCTTCAATACGTCTTTATCCTCTCTTGTGTTTCTCCTTTTGAGTTTCATAGCCTATATGCACACTCACACCCCCTTATATATATATGAACATTTATATGTAATATATATGTGATACATATGTTCATACATATATGTAAGATATATGTAATACTTGCCTTTCTGAGTCTAAGGTACATAACTTAACAGTCAACTTTCCAGGGTCACTTTTTTTCTTGAATACTTTGGGATTTCATTTTTTCTTGAAGGCCGAATAAAACCCAGTCATGTATGGGCCACATTTTCCCATGTCCATCATCTGCTGATGGGCATCTGTGCTGCCTCCACTTAACCCGCTGTTGTCAGGAGAGCAGCAGTGAACGCGGAGGTACAGGTCTCTACGGTAGGATGCAGGGTCCTTGAGGTGATGCTCAGGAGTGGTATGACCGGGTCAGAGGGTAGTTCTAGCTTTAACTTGCCAAGGGCCCTCCATGCTGGTTTCCACAATGGGTTCACTAGTCTGCACTCCCACTAGCAGCAAGAACGAGTTCCTCTTCCTCTACATCCTTACCAGCGTTTGCTGTCTGTATCCTGGCTGATCACCACTCTAACTGGGGGAGACGGAATCTCCAAATAGTTTTAATTTGTATTGCCCTGATGGCTAGTGATGTTGAACCCTTTAAAAAAAAATACTCGTTAGCCATTTGTGTTTCTTCTTTTGAGATCTGACTGTTTATTTTAATGGTCCATTTATTAGCTGGCAGGATTTTTTTTGGTATTTAATTTTTGTAGTTCTTTATTTATCCTATATACTAACCTGTCTGAAGTATAGCTAGTAAAAGCTTTCCCCATTCTGTAGTCTGTCTGTTTGCTCTAACGATGTTTTTTTTTTTCCTGTGTAGAAACTCTTTTTCTTAGGCTGGTTGTCCCCCTTTAATCAATTAGTTAAGTGATGAGGACGAGAGTCACATTAGCGTGACAACCTAGCCAAGAAGTCAGGTCAAGAAATAATGGGCGCACCTTCCTGTTTTTGTGAGGGCTCTGAATTTCTTTGTTTTCTGCCCTTCATCTTTTCTCCTGGGTCAGAACAACTAGGTCTAAATTAACACTAATATTTCATTAATATTTTAAAAGCATACCTTGAAAGTCGGTGGCTAAAACCATCTGACTTGCAGAATTTCTTCTGTAACTTGTCCATGGTTTTCTCTTTGCTAACAGATTTCTTTAAAAGGTGGGATTTTGCAGTAAGTGAGGCTTGGATGAGCAAGAGTAAGAAGAAATGGCTTATGAAGACTTCAGTGTGTGTGTGTGTGTGTGTGTGTGTGTGTGTGTGTGTGTGCATCTGTGCGTGCACATGTAAGCATGTGTACCCTTGCAAGTGTTGGAGAAGGCCTGTATTCAGAGAAGCAGAATTGCTGTCCATGTAGATTCTTAGTCTAGACACGGGTACTGGGACTCCAGATGATGCACGAGAGGGACTCTCCTTAGAGATCACACGTGCCAGGCAGGGACAGATGATAGCATTGAAACTGGACTCATCTGTATGACTTTCTGGGTTTACCAGACATGGAGTCGTTAGGAATACCGTCTATATGCCTTCAAAATGGCCTCCCAGGTTCTGAGGGGTGGAGATGGCTCAGTCAGTAAAGTACTTACTTTGTAAGTTTGAAGATTTGGATTTGATCTCTAGGACTGATGGTAAAGTTGTAGGTATGGGGGCATGTGCTTGTAATCGCAACTCGGGAGGTGGAGACAGGAACATCCCTAGGGCTTGCCAGTCAGCCAGTCTAGCTGAATTGGTGATCTCTGGGTCAAGGAAAGGCCTATCTCTAAGGAAGTAGACAGCCTTCTGAGCTTGTCTTTGACCTCCAGACATGCACCCTCGCCCACATGAACATACGTAGAACTCGGTAGAATATCAGAGCAGCTCCATCCTTTGAGCTGGGGCCAGTCTGATTCTTCATGGGCAATTTGGCCTCTTTGAACAGCCATGGTTTCATAGGCGTCTTCCAGGTCTCAGTCAGTCAGTCAGCGACGGTGTTGTGAAGGCAGAGTGAGAGCTTTAAGACAGCTGTGTCATGTGTGCAATAGAAATTCTTAGTTTTCAAAACCCGAGATGGAAAAATTACAGAGTGAAGCTTGCAGGGGGTCATTTTCATAAACGCTCTAGTTCTTCAACCTGAAAGATCTCAGCCTTACATTTGGCTTTCCAGACTCTTGACACGCTGACTTAGAATAGCAACAGATCCAACAGGCATTCATTAAGAATCTCCTGCAGTTCCTGGAGGAGTTATTAGTGGAGACCTAGACATGTTTTTCTTTGTTTGAGGCAGGTCTTGTGTAGCCCAGGCTGCCCCTGAACTCATTATTTAGCTGAGGATGACCTTGAACTTCTGATTCCTATTGTTTCCAATTAGAATATAGACTGTGCTACCATGACAACCTGCTAGACTTAAGAAAAACAAAACAAAACAACAAAAATCCCAAATCCCAATGGTGTAGGAGGTCCTGTCTATTTGTTGCTTTTATTGGTTGAATAAAGAAACTGCCTTGGCCTTGGGCAGAGATTGGGTGAGTGGAGTAGACAGAACTGAATGCTGGGAAGAAGGGCAGAGTGGCAGACACCATGGATCTCCTGCCTGAGATGGACATAGGTTAGAATCTTGCCAGTAAGCTACAGTCACGTGGTGATACATAGTTAATAGAAATGGCTTAATCAAGATGTGAGAGTTAGCCAATAAGAGGCTAGAGCTAATGGGCCAGGCAGTGATTTAATTAATAAAATTTCTGTGTGATTATTTTGGGGGTTAAGCTAGCCGGGCAGACGGGATGAAAAGCAGGCCCTCTCTCCTTCAACACCCCAATAACTACAACTTGACAAACATTTGGAAATTTGTTTGTAAATCATTAGTTACAGTCCTTAAATAGTATTTAATAGTTATTATATCTCAAATGATACATGTTGCTTATTTTTATTTTTGTTTTGAGACAGGATCTTGCTATGTAGCTCAGGCTGACCTTGAAGTTACAGCCCTCCTGTTTTAGCCTCCCAAGTACTGGGACCACTTTACCCAACTATTCACTATCCTTTAATTTTTTTATTTGTATTTTTATTGTTCGTGTGTATGTGTGTGTACACTCACAAGGTCAGGTGAGTGCAGTTGCTGTGGTGGAATAGAACTCAGGTCACTAGCCTTGTCGACAAGCATCTTTCCCCACTGAGCCATCTCGCCCACCCCATAATGTTCTTTTCACACAGCGTCAACTTACCTTAATATTGAAACTTTTGTTTTTATTAGACTTTATTACACTAGCAGTAATGGGGGAATTGACAGGGGCTGCAGTTTAGTGGTACAGTGCTTGCTTCTCATGCACAAAGGCCTCAAGTTTGACTCCCCAGTTCCACAAACAGGATCCAACTGCATACAGTGTTTGGCTCAGTGGTTGGGAGCACATTTAGCAGCTCAGGGCTGTCTGTAGCTCCGATACCAGGGGAACCGACACCCTCACACAGACATACATGCAGGCAAAACACCAATGCAAATAAAAATAAAAATAAATAAAACATTAAGAAAAAAAATTCCAGTTGACACTAACTAACTTTGCTCTTTTTAAGGAGCGACGAAAATTTGGTCCCTTGGGATGGAATATTCCCTATGAATTCAATTCTGCCGACTTCTCGGCCAGTGTTCAGTTCATTCAAAACCACCTCGATGAGTGTGATATTAAAAAGGTGAGTGGAATTGTTGGTCTTTTTGTCTGTTTGTTTTCTAGTTTTTCATGACAGCCCATGGCATGGGGTGAACTAGCTGAGGTCTCCCTGAGACCCTCTTTCAGAGGGACAGGTACTCTAATTGGCTGGCCCACTCAACTCCCCTCCCCTAACCCACACGCTCACATTTTGTTCCCCTCCCCTGAAGGTGCCTGCCAGAGTAATGATGAAACTATGTGCTTCAAAAATGCAACAGTGTCCCTAATGCCACTCCTGGGCCCCAGAGGGCCCCATGAGAAGTGGGGTGACATCAGTTGGGCCTGCCTTTTTTGACCTTCTTCCTGCTATCCAATAAGGCAGTTCTTTTAGTCTCAAGTCCCCCTTCACCATTAAAAAAGATTTCTTTACGTATTTACTTATGTGTGTGTATTCAAGTGTGTTTGTAGTGTACCTTGTGTGCAGTGCCCTTGGAAGCATGAAGAGGACATAGGATCCCCTGGACCTGGAGTTGGAGATGGTTGAGCCACAATGTGGGTGCTGGGAATCAAATCTGCATCCTCTGCAAGAGCATCAAGTGCTTGCAACAGCAGAGCATCTCTCCAGTCTCCCACCCCTCTCCGTATTTTCTGGTACTGGAGATTGAGCCCAGGGCTTCACATACCCTCAACAAATGCTGCATCACTGAACGGAGTTCCCAACCATGAAGTCTTTTCTTTTCTTAGTTTATTTGCTTATTTGTTTGTGTATTGTGTGTATGTGTGTGTGTGTTATATACATGCATGAGCGCAGGTATCCATGCACCACGGCACACATATGTAGGCCAGAGAACAATTTTTAGGAGCTGGTTCCCTCTTTTTAGCTTGTGGATCCTGAGGTTGGAACTTGGGTCTTCATGTTGGGTTCCAAGTGCTTTTACATGCTGAGCTTCAAGAACCTAGATCACTTCTTAATTTCCAAGTTCAAGTATATAAATAGCAACTAAAAAACCTTTTTGGAAGTCTTAGGGATTGAACTTATAGCCTTGCACATGCCGGACAGTTTCTCTACCACTGAGCCATACGTCATCCCCAGTAGTTACTTCTAGTAATGGTTACTAATCATCAAGGTGTAGACTTCCCATTCTCCATGGTGCTTCTGTAAGCATGTCTGCCTATATCATCATGACGTTGACAAAGGTGTCACCATTATTCCCCTTTAACGGATGGGTGACTTCCTCGAGGTCACAGAGCTGGGAGTGCAAGCCTGGTTGCCTCTCTGCTAACAGGCTGCTAAGGTTTGGGAATCCTCTTTTTCAGGATCGTAGGTAAGTCAGTGAGACTTTCAGCCAGTTTCCTCCATGAAGTCTTGGTCTCTGAGGAACAGAATTAGCATTTTATGAAAACACCAGTGCACAGTGCATAGCAGAGGTTCCACAGAGACCACTTTTACTCTGTCCCCCTCTTCCTGCCCACAGTAGGACTGCCAGATAACTATAGACTCTGAAGTGACATCAGGATTCCAGTGAGCCGTGATGAATGCTCACCTGGGGTGAACAGAAGTTGGAACCAAACTGTCATTTTCTCCTGAAATGACAAAAGGACAGTAAATTAGGACTGTGGCAGTATGATGAAAAATGATATTGTATGGGTTCATATTCTGCAGTTATTTATCATGTCAGCATATACAAATTATAGCTGCCTTGGAATGGTTGCTTTGAAAGGCAACCAAGCTGAAAAATAGAGGTTTAACCAATAAGTAAATAAAAATAAGAGTCCAAAATCCGTAAGCATCCGCACTTTTCCTTTACTCTAGTACATTGAGGTTTGTTTGTTTTTTTTTTTAAAAAAAAACTATGAATAGCAGAATTATATTGCTAGTATAAGACTGCTAAGAAATTAATGACTACATCATTGCGGCGTTAGCTTATAGAAGGAGACAGCACAGGATTGCATTGTGGAAAAGTCTCGGGAATAAATACTTTCCTGTTTGTTCTCTTACGGATTCTGGAAAAAATCTATTGCGAAGAAAGAACATTAAAGCGCCCCTTCCTTGATCTTGTTTCTTTCCTCATTAGGCGTCCCTCCCCGCCCCTCTGTAACAGCGTGGCATTTCCTGTAATGCGTGCTGCAGGTGATTACAATCACGGCGAGGCAAATACTGCCTTATTTTTCTAGTTGATGTAATCCACAGTCACCTTCTCTTCCAGTGCTTAATACTGTAGATTTTTCTTTGGTGAACAAGCTGGAGTGGTTCCAGCCACATGGTCGTGAGTTATTCCTATGAGATAAAGAATAATTTCCAGTGCAGCAATTTGAGCTTCATTCAGCGGCTGTGATAAAAACGCTCTTCCTGGAAGTGACCTGGGGAGGCTTGCTTGGTGTACGCTTGCAGGTCACTGTTCATCATTGAGAGATGTCAGGGCAGGAACATGGAGGCTGGAACCATGGTGTAACACTGCTTGCTAGCTCACTCGCTTGGCTCACTCACACAACCTAAGGATCCCTGTGTAGGGAATAGCACCACCCACAGTGGCCCCTCTTAGAAATGCCCACAGACCAACTCCATAAAGACAATTGAGGCTTTTCCCCCTCAGTGCTTCTATCCTGTGTCAAGCTGACAGAATGTTAATTAAGACAACAGCCTAGCTGGCATTCCCTTTACCAGAGCTTTCCTATAGTGCTAGGCCCGGAGTGTTCTCACTGCAGTGGATAATCCTCCCTTCTTTCTACCACAGGGGGTATCGTGGAGTACAGTCCGGTACATGATTGGAGAAGTACAGTATGGGGGCAGAGTGACTGACGACTTTGACAAACGGCTACTTAACTGCTTTGCCAGAGTAAGTCAAATTTGGGAGGAAAATGAGTGGAGATAAAGTTCACGGTGTTTTCCTTTGAAAAAGATGTGTTTCGGTTTTAATTATGTACATGTGCACGTGGCTGTGTGTGGCTATGTGCATGTGAGCACGGGTACCTGCTGTGAGGGCCAGAAGAGGACATCAGATATCCTGAAGGGGGAGTTACAGGGGTGTGTGTGTGTGTGTGTGTGTGTGTGTGTGTGTGTGTGTGTGCTGGAACCACACTCCAGTGCTCTTTACCCCTGTACCATCTCTCCATCTGAGGAACACCTTTTGTTTACAATGGGCATGACTAATCTGGGGGTGGAGTATAAAGGGGGATTCTTGTGAATAGTATTAGCCAAGAACCCCTTCTTTCTACCATACTGCCCTCACGTACAACATTAACTAACTACCAGGACAGAGACCATGCAGAGGTTACTAATACATGTAGTAGGAAATATGAGGTCTACGTGGAATTGTTCTACTGTAGTCTCTCTTTTGTTGGGCGTGTCAAATCCAATATAGGTGTGTCAAATCTGATCTGGGTGTGTCAGATACAATCTGAGTGTGTCAAATGTGCTATGGATCCGATATGGGTGTGTCGGATACAATTTGGGTGTGTCAAATCTGCATACTTGGATGTACTTAAAGAAAGCATTGGGAAAGCGCAGGGCTAAGATTCGGTCTGCTTCTGTGGCTGCCTGTCATCTGGCCCCTCGGTGCGGTCCTTTGTTTGATAACAAATGTGCCGTGGACCCACAGCCTTCATCCCGGGATATGTTCCTGTGACTTAAGCCACCCACGTCACTAAAGAGCTCATTTGTCTTCATGATGACTATATACACAGCGCCACCTTCTTTAATAACTTGAAATCGCTCCCCAACTCTTAGATTAAACTCCGCTCACTGCCCCATGTCCAATCATCCATCAGAGAACTCTCCTCTCTTTCCCTCTCTTCCCCCTGCCCTCAGTATCTTCTCTACTCTAGCCTCCATGGCTTCTGTCAATCCATCTCACACTTTGGCATCTGGTACTCACTGGTGTGCCCCCAGCCACCCACCCAAGTCCTAAGTGCTCTAGACAAAAAGAAAAAGTCTCTTCTTGGAGACTTGTCTTCAAAACTCGTCCCTGCTAAGCCCTTGCCCGTATCCACCTGGCCATCCTCCCTCCTGCCTTAAGCCCTCTGTGCCCTTTGCTTATTTTCATGCCCTTCTGGCTCTTGCCTCAGCGCACCTCGTATTAGGAAGGTTGTTGTTTCATAACTGGCTTGTCCCTCTACCAGGTCACAAGATCCTTGAGTGAAAGGACTGCGTGTCTCTCTCCTTTGCGTTCTGTTCTGGTTCTGAGCTCTGTTCCATGCAGGCAGGGACTGAATAGAGTGAAGCTGAAGCAAACAGAGCCACGGAGAAAACCGGGGCACTGTATTTCAGAGTAATCACCGGATCTAAAAAGAGCCGAAAACACTGATGGAGGGAGACTGCCAGAAACAGCGGGCTTGAATGGGCAAGGCACAGCCCGGTCTCCTCCACCCTCACCCTGCTTCCATTCTTGTCCTGTTACTTCCCTCCCTACTAGGAAAATCACCCTCTTAGGTACCAAAGTTGTCGCCTCAAACCAGCTCAGGCATTCAACGTCTCTTTTTTTCCACCTTCTCCAAAGAAGTCTGTTCACACCAAGTGCATATTTGTTCTCTCACCGTTTTGTTGCAGATAATCAATCAATTCGTATGGAACGAGAAAAGGGTGCCTTCGGGCTAGCAACAATGGAGGCTGGGCAGCGGGGGCATTTACTTCTGCTGCCCAGGGACAGAACTTAATTAACAAAGGAAGCTCTGGGTGGGAGGGCAGGTGCTGAGAAGTTTCTGTGGCTGCATGCTTGGTGCTTAGCATCTGTGAGTGAAACTGGGTAGACTAGCACCAAAGAAGAGCCTTGCCTAGTGAGATGTGAGGCCAAGGAAATACTCAGGGGCCCTCATGGCTGCAGGTGAACCAGAGGTAACCAAAATACTCTTGTGGAATACACTGTGAACTCACCACGTACTTCAGCATGGCCTTGAACTTCCGACCCTCCTGACTCTACCTCCCAAGTACTGGCATTACAGAAGTACACTGCCACGCTGCATGTAAGCCATGCTGGAGAAGGAACCCAGGGCTGTGTGCATTGCTATACAAGGACTCAGCCAACTGAGTTGCAACCCATCTCACCCCATCTCACTTCCTCCACTGTTTATGTTTTTCTCTTTTCAGTACTGAGGAGCGAACTCAGGGCTTCCTTCAAGCTAAGCAAGTGCCAGGCCTCTGAGCCCACTTCTGGCTGTGCCCCACCCTCAATGCCCTGGCTAGATCTCCCCTTGGGTGCCAACCAGAGTCTTGCCTAATTGTTCCTGTGCAATGGGAAAGCACAGGGCTAAGATTCACTCTGCTCCTGTGGCTGCATGTCATCTGGCCCCTTGGTGCGGTCCTTGGTTGGATAACAAATGTGCTGTGAACCCACAGCCTTCATCCCGGGATATGTTCTTGCAACTAACTTAGGGCCTCTCTTTTGTAGATTATCTCTTTCCTTCCTATATGTGATAATTATTCCACTGATAGTTTTGTTAAGATGCTTCCAAAACCAACAGTAAAGACAGACAGACGGACAGACAGACACACATACACAGACAGAGAGAGAGAGAGACCCTATTAAAATGGAAATAAGCCTCCTCTTCTAATCTTCATCAATTTTCTTTTATTTTTCTCTCTCCCATATAGGTCTGGTTCAGTGAGAAGATGTTTGAGCCCTCATTCTGTTTTTACACCGGATATAAAATCCCCGTGTGCAAAACCTTGGACCAGTATTTTGAGTACATCCAGTCTCTGCCATCCCTAGATAACCCAGAGGTCTTTGGGCTCCACCCTAATGCTGACATCACGTGAGTTCTGGGCACTTTTTCTCTCTCTTTTTTAATTTGAAGGTGTCATTTGTAACTAGGCCTGGCAGAGACTATGCACTTCATTTTCTCTGCTAATCTCTCTCCTTTCCCTTCTTTTTATTTTCCTGTGAAAAATAGTGTTGCTGCCTGTCTTCCAATTACAACTCTGTCACAACTCAACCTGCCCTCCCCACTGCCCTCCCTCACTAAATCCCGATGGCCTGGTGTTTATGGCAACTCGAAAGCTGTAATTTACGCGTTGATTACTTCTCTGTCCTGTCATGAAGCCAGTTATAGTTTTATTTTAATCGATGCTCTCCATTGGTAGTCGTGTCCCCGCTCCTTATCTCTTTCTCCAAATCTCCATTCAAATATACCATTTGGGACTAGAGAGACGAGTCAGTGGCTAAAAGTGCTTGCCTGTCTTGTAGAGGACCCAAGTTGGGTTCCCAGCCCCCCCTCCCCCCGTGTCCAGTGGCTCACCACCCCCTGTAACTCCAGGGTGTCTGACTCCCCCTTCCGGCCTTCTTGAGCAGCTGCACTCATGTGCACATACCCACACATAGACACATATGGAAGGCAAGGCACATGCAGCTACAGTCCTGTCTGACCCCTCTCTATGACGGACCATCTCTTCTCATGCATGCTCACCTGCAACCTTCTGGTCCTGAGCTTCTCCTGGGCACATACCCCAGAGCCCAGTGTGATGTCCCTGATCCCCACAAAGCCATAGCAGTGCCTACCAATCCTAAGCACCTTCTTTGGCCCACCCTCCAGATGAAGTTTCTCTTTGGAGAACCCTCTATCAAAAAGGATCTCCCTGCCCTACCTCCTGACTCAGCTTCAGCCGAGTTATTCCTGTGCAAGGTGTGGCCTCTGTGGCCCACCGGAGGAAGATTCCTCGCTTAGAGGGGGGGGGGGCCTGTTTGCCCTTCTCCCAGTCCCCGAGTCATGGCTGTAATTTTAATAACTCCTTCATCACGGGCACTTTCCACTTCCAGTACCCTTACACAAGTGCGTTCTCCTCCCACCCAGACACGGCCCACGCCCCACACTGGGCTCCCCTCCTCTGTACCCTCTAATCTGGCTCGTGATGCTTTGCCCCTCCAGAGACGCTGTCACCACCCAGGAATAATGGTAAATCTCAGTCTCCGTGACAGAGCGTGATACCTCTGCAGCGTTGCCTCTGAACTGCTGCCCCGAGAGGCTCTGTTCAGTGAGCCGAAATGCAAGCCTAGTGAAGCAATCAAAGGGGCTTCTGTGGGGATCAGTGTGAGCGCGAACAGTGAGGGAGGGAGGCCCAAGGAAGTGGTTTCACTTGAGCCGAGCCTTTGACAGGTGAGGTAGACCCAGCTCCTCTGCTCTGAACTGTTCTGCAGTCCTGCCTCATCGTGGGCCCAGGTCAAAGGTGCCCGCATAGCATACACATAACCCAGACCTCTGTTCCCTCCCTCCGTACATCCCTCTTCCCAGCTCAGCTCCAACTCTCCATCACTTCCTGTTACATAGACCATAAGGCTCTCTTGTACTTCCTGAAACATACCCTGTCACACTCACGCCCAGAAATACCACTGTGACTCACCCTTTTCCTCTTCCGGCCCTTGCTTGAGTGTCGTGTTTGCAATGGTGCCTCCCGGTAGTCACCCTAAGTACAAATGGTGACCTGTTTTTAATGCCCCTCCCCCGGCCCTACCCCTCTTACCAACTTTTTCTTATATCAGCCGCAGACATACTCTTTTTCATTATTTATTTATCGGCCATCAGTTAAAACATAAATTGGATGCAATTCTATTGCATCCCAAACCTGTGTCCATTTTCACCCCTTTCTGGCTGTCATTGTGCCTGGCGCTCAGGAAACCCTGCTGGGTTGAATCAGTAATGCTAAGCCCTTCCAGACTCTAAGGAGTCTGATCAGTGAGGCTAATCCATAGGATGTTATCTTTCCTGTGTGGGGGAAGAAAAGTAGTGGACAAAACTCCGTGCGATTGTAATTATGTCAGAAAAGACACTGCTGTGTGGGCTGGAGATGTGGTTCCAATACACCTTCCTAATGTGCACCAAGTTCTGGGTTCAATCCCCAGTGCTAGGGAAAAACAAATTGTTAGGCAGGCTCTCGTGCAGCTCAGGCTGACCTTGAACTTGCTCTGTTGCTGAGGGCAGCCTTAAATATTTGGCCCTTCTACCTCCATCTCTCGTGCATTGAGATTGCATCCAGGTACCACCATGTACCAGCCAATGAAGGACTGCGCTCTGGACTTGCGAGCCCTCCCCTCCCCTAAGTGGCTTTGGGTCAGAGTGTTTTGTCATAGCAACAGAAACGAAACGAGAACAGATGCTCTCTCTTATTTCGAGTGAATGTTTCTATTCCTGTGCTTTTTTGGTGTAAAACTTGTCCACTCTTCTTCAGGAGCAATTTTAGTCCTTTTTTGTTTATAAGACTTAATAATATATATAAATCATACCCGCATATATGTACACACACATACACACGATTCCCGCCTTTTATTTGTGATATATGTTGGGAATACCATTTCCTGTCTTCTCGTTTGGTTTTGCCTCTGCTTTTGAAGGTACAAGTGTTGCTTGTCATTTGGTTCACTGTTGTTTTATGCGATCAGATGATGGGTGGTGCTGGTGTCCCACCTGGGTCTGTAGTGATTGCAGCAAGGCCCGTTCTCGTGTGAGGTTAGAAGCAAGCATCCCCTCTCTAGGTGTTTACATGGTTTTAGAGTTCACACTTAACTCTTTAGGCCATCTAGAATTTCTGTGGCATCCAAGTGTGGATGAAGCCTCATCTTCTCCCAGCTGGCAATCCAGTACTCCATTATCAGTGACTGAAGATGCTTCCCTAAATGTGGGCGGAACTTGGATGGGTGTGTGGGCCCATGTCTGGTTTAGTTCTTGCTGTTTCCATTTGCAGTTGAGTTTTATAAATTGTATTCTCAAAGAAAACCGTCTGTTGAATCTGTGTCTTCATTTTTGCTTACCTGGAGTTTTGCAAGGCAGACTTTGTTTGAATGTGTGCATACAGGGTCGAGTATATACAGTATTAACACTATATACAGTTAATTTATTATGGAAGTATGTGCATACCTCTAGCTCTATAGGCCTTTGGTCCGAAATTCAGTAGCTTGCAGCCACTCCAGTCTTTCTCCAAAAGGTATGTTCTAGCTCCCTTAAAATACTTGTTCAGGCAGCTCTGGCAAGCCACTTTACTGCAGTCAGTCAGTGTATCCCCAGAGAAACAGTGGGGTCCAACTTGGCATAACACAGGTGTACACCACACCACAAACCAGGGGTCCTCCTTCCCGGGGCTCAGCTCCACAGGTTCTCAGTCACTGGTGGGAAAAGCACACTGTGGCAAAGAGCCAGACTCACATGTAGAATGCACGAGTGTTGTGGTCGTTCTTTAACTGAGTGGTCTGGTGACAGGGTGACCTCAGGTGGCCTATTTATTTATGCTTTCAGAATTTCATTCATGCACACAGTGGATTTTGATCCTATCAACCATCTGTTCTGCTGTCCAGTTCCTCCGACGCCCTCCTACCATGTCCCCCTCCCATGCCCCTTCTTTGACATAACCCACTAAGTCTAGACAGAGCTTCAGTGTGTACTTGAATGTAGAGCCATCCACTGGAGCGGGGACAGCTTACCACACCCCAGAAAAAAGCCCCCCACCCCAGCAGCCATCAGCTGTGCGTTATCTCTTTGGCTGTGGGTTGGGCCTCATGATCTCCGCCCACGCTGCAGTGCTGGCTGGCTTGATCTGGCAGATCTGGTGCAAGGATCCTCAGCTGCCAAGAGTTCTTGCTGCAGTGTCCCCATCGTGTCCAGAAGACACTGTGCTTACAGCAGTCACCCCAGGCTGCTGGATCTTTCAGCCTGCCTGCCCCCTCTTCCTGGATGTTTCCTGGCTCTTCGGGAGATGGTGTGACTAGATGTGTATTTTAGGGCTGGTTCTGCATTTCGGCCAGCCATTGAGTGTCTGGGTTAACTGTCACCCCCTGCGCAAAGGCTTCTCTGGGGAGGACTGAGAGCTTCACTAACTGTCTGAGATGGGAGTTGGAGTCGGGGCAGGGGAGCTTCAAAAGTGTTTACTGGGGACCCCCTACCTGTCTGCACCAGGAGCTGAAGAGGGGTAACGAAGTCTCACCATAGTCTTTTGCATTATTTCTTTCAATTAACTCAAACTGAACCAACGACCCCCCCTACACACACACACCCTCCCCTGCTTCCAGCTCTTCTCTCTCTCTCTAGTGTCCAGGGCACAGAGAACACAATGCATCTCTCTGCCTCCTCCCCAACCTTATCTAGAGCCCCTTGAAGCCTCATACAACATCCTAGAGACCCAGAGCTGGTGGGGACATCCGGGGATGTGTGGACTCAGGCCTAGATCAGGAATGGTGATGGGATGGGGCGGAGCGGCAGGGCAAGTTACAAAACAGACCTGACAGGATTCCCTGAGTGCGGAGCCAAGGTCTAGAACTTTCCTCTACAGCTTATGTTCATTCACTGCTGCTCATGGGTGGTAGAGGGGGTGTGGGAAGCCATCTGGCAGGCTCACTTCAGGAAGCCTAAGCTAGCATCTCTCCAAATCATGCCAAGATCTTTCAGCTTTTTGCACACTCGGGGGGGGGGGGGGACTGGTAGAAAGCCATGGTGTCTCCCGCTGATGAACAGCTCTTTCTACAAGAGTTGCCTCTTGGCCTGTGAGACTAGTGTGCATAGCTCCACTGGTCTGGCTGAATTTCCACCTTCCCATTTGGTCTCTCCTTGGGGCTCTTCCATCCCATGTCGCCTCCAGTCCCTGCTTCATGCTGTTTCCAGTTCCTGCTGTGGCCAGGCCGTCAGCGGTATCCCAAAGCTCTGTCTTTGGAAAGTTTCCTGGCCACTGTTTTGGGCCTAATTCTTCCTCTAGGCACTGAATATGGGCAGACTAGAATCCTGCCCCTGAATTACCCTGCTTTTAAAATTACAATGTTTTATTTTATCAGAGGCAC